TCAGAAGGGAAACTGGTGAGGTTGCTCCTTGTACTGGTTAATCATTGCCTTTTTTTTCTGGATAGGTGAACATACCATTGAACAAATCTCTGAACTGTGGTCATCTGCCTTTTTATTTTCTATCTAGGTCCAGAAGTATCTTTGGAAATAAGGATGGTTTGGGTGGTTCTGTTTTACCTTGTTAAAAATGAAAAGGGAAATAGTAGTCTTCGTTTAGTGGCAATTTGTAGTTGCAACAGTGATGAAAAAGAAACTTTACAGCCAGTCTTTGCATATAGAACCTTTACAGCTCTATAAGGTCAAAAGTTACTGTTTTGTTTAATAACCAAGTTGCCAGTCTCTGAGGTGCACAGACAGATCTTCACACTGCTGCAACGAACGAACGAATTGTTTCCTGCAAAAGCCCCCTCCCCTTTTGCTCCTCTTTTAATCCCTATGGGAGGGATTAAAAGAGGAGCAAAAGGGCATTCACCTGTGGCCTTACTCCCACATCAACCCTTAGTTCGTAATTGTTCTTTTCTTTTGGCAGCTCTGTGCATGCGCAGGCTGGAAACCAGCTTCAGCTGCTCTCCCGCCTCACTGCTGTCCGACTTCAAAGACAGCTGATAACTGCCAGCCTGTCCTGGCCCCATCTCTGCCTCTGATGCAGAGCCCTCCTCAGCCTCCAGGACTGGCCCATGTTCCTCCCCAACCTCCTCATTATCTGACTCTGCTGCCAGCTCCACTAGTCACCAGCAGGCCACAACAGCGGGATGGTTTAGCAATATGAACTGAAGGCAGAAAAGGCAGTGTATTGGGATAGAATATTAATCACAGATTGCACTGGAACATCCAGGGGTACTTTTCCCTAGAAAGTTTATCGATTAGCTGAGAAAGACTTACTAAAATATGTGGCATGATTTGTCAGGATAATAAATCTAAAACTGCAAAAAAAGGATAAAAAGCAGGTTGCTTTGCTACATGTTTTCACATGCTTTGAAGGCTACCATGTGGGAGCTGGGAGACTGCATCCATCTGCGTGAGTTAAATATTTTACTTCATCTCCAGAATACATTCCTTCTCTAAAAATAGTATAAACATGCATCTACATGTTTCATTTGCAGTCTATTTCTGCCCCTGGAAGTGGAATTTGGAGTGATGGAAGAGATAAAAATGATGGAACACAGACTCATACATGGAATGTTGAAGTTTTGATTGATGTGCTTAAAGAACTGGTATGTTCATAAAATGAAATCCAAAAATGTATTTCTGGAATTAAGAAACTCAATGACTACTAGGGCTGCTGGTGGCCAAATGCTAAGACAAGACTTCCCTCAGATCCTCCCTCCTTTACATTCCCATCTCCTTCCTTCCACCAGGGTGCCAGACCCAGCATGCTTTCTGCCTCCTGTGCATGCGCCCTGGCAGAACACCCAGCCTGTGGGCTAAGGCAGCAGATGCTGGCCCATCACTGTCTCCAGGGAGGCCCTGCGTGCCAGATCTAACCACATCACAGGCCAGATCTGGCCCGCGGACCTTGAATTTGACATGTCTTATTTAGATGAAAGTTAGATGCATTTATTTATAAGATCAGAATATTGATCAAGGTACTTTTATAAGCAAACTCTTGATTATTAAGAGCAGGTAATAAAATGTAATTGAAAACAGGTAAAACTGTTTTTTTCTGCATTTCCAATTTATTGAGGGAAGTCTTATAGGAGTTAGTAGAAAGTGTACTTTTAATTCAGAATACATGATGCTTTGTCAGTACAAAGGCTTGAATGCATTAAAGGGCTCATTATGCTAAGACTTGTACATAATTAAAGTTACAAATATTTTTAATAGTATAATTTAATCTAGCCTATATTTTGCCATTTCTCTAGCTAGAGTTTTTTTTCTTCTGTCACCATTCCCATCCTCCATGATTTCTCAAGTATTAGAGAAAAGTCCCAAAGGTACTTTTTCTTTCTTTTTTTAAATAGATTTTTATTATACATTTTCTTTAATATACATAACTATTCATAATTATACAACATCATTGTCCCTTTTTTCCCCTTTCCATCATTATACATCCTAGCTAAAACTATCATATCGTATAATCTCTCCATCATACCATATTATACATCCAAATGATATCTATTATTTGTTTGTTTCCATCATAATATACTATTCCAATCCTCACTTTATGCATTACATGTTCTATTCATGTACAATTCAAATATATTCATTTTTACATTATTTATTCTTACATCTTCCTTTATCCCTGAATAAATGCAATTTTGTTAATCTTCTTTCCTTATTTAACACTAATATCTGCAAGTACCATTGTAAGTCTGACCATCTCAGCATGCTAAAGTATCTTTCTTATTACTTCCTCCTCTGTAGGTGTCCTTTCACTTTTCCACTTTTGTGCGTATAGGATTATAGCTGCATTAATATAGGAATGATTAAATAAATAAGTCTTTTATCGTATTTCCCTACTATTATCCATAATAAAAATAGTTCTGGTTTCATATCTGTTTTGTTGTTTCAACATTTCTTCTAACTAATTCCTTATATTCAGCTGGTATTTTTTCACCGCCGGACATTTCCACCATATGTTATAGTAGGATCCCCATTTTGTTTGCATTTCCAACATTCAAGTGATATATTAGGGAACATTTTTGCCAATCTTGCAGGTGGCAAATGTCATCTGTAAAACATTTTGTATGAATTCTCTTTGTATGCTTCTGATAATGTTAGTTTATGGTTTCTCTCCCATAATTTTTGCCATTTATCCAGTTCTATGGAGTATTCAAAATTCGTCGCCCGAACAGTCATCATTTCTTTTTACATATTCTTCTTCCATGCTGACATTCAATAAATAGTTATACATTTTCTTTATTAATTTTTTATCTGGTCCTAACATTATTTTGTCCAAGTCTTGAGGTTCCTTATATAATCCATACATTTCTCAATCTTTCTTGTATCTTGTTTGAATTTGAATAAGCGGCCACCAGTCTAGTTCTCTTCCCTGTTTTTTTAGTTCCTGATTGGTTTTCAACACTCCCCGTTCGTTTAAAATGTCTTTGTATCTTAAAATCTTATCTGGGTCTAAAACATTGGGATATATACTGATCAAAAAAATAAAGGGAACACTTAAGCAACACAATGTAACTCCAAGTCAATCACACTTCTGTGAAATCAAACTGTCCACTTAGGTAGCAATATTGATTGACAAGCAATTTCACATGCTGTTGTGCAAATGGAATAGACAACAGGTGGAAAGCATAGGCAGTTATAGTAAGACATCCCCAATAAAGGAGTGGTTCTGCAGGTGGTGACCACAGACCACATCTCAGTTCCTGTGCTTTCTGGGTGATGGTTTCGTCACTTTTAAATGCTGGCAGTGCTTTCACTCTAGCAGTAGCATGAGACGGAGTCTACAACCCACACAAGTGGCTCAAGTAGTGCAGCTCATCCAGAATGCGAGCTGTGGCAAGAAGGTTTGCTGTGTCTGTCAGCATAGTGACCAGAGCATGGAGGCGCTACCAGGAGACAGTCCAGTATGTCAGGAGACGAGGAGGAGGCTGTAGGAGGGCAACAACCCAGCATCAGGACCGCTACCTCTGCCTTAGTGCAAGGAGGGACAGGAAGAGCACTGCCAGAGCCCTGCAAAATGACCTCCAGCGGGCCACAAATGTGCATGTGGCTGCTCAAACGGTCAGAAACAAACTCCATGAGGGTGGTATGAGAGCCCGACGTCCACAGGTGGGGGTTGTGCCAACACCATGCAGGACATTTGGCATTTGCCAGAGAACACCAAGATTGGCAAATTTGCCACTGGCGCCCTGTGTTCTTCACAGATGAAAGAGGTTTACACTGCGCACATGTGACAGACGTGACAGGGTCTGGAGACGCCATGGAGAACGTTCTGCTGCCTGCAACATCCTCCAGCATGACCGGTTTGTCAGTGGGTCAGTAATGGTGTGGGGTGGCATTTCTTTAGGGGGCCACACAGCCCTCCATGTGCTCGCCAGAGTAGCCTGACTGCCATTAGGAACCGAGATGAGATCCCCAGACCCCTTGTGAGACCATATGCTGGTGCGGTTGGCCCTGGGTTCCTCCTAATGCAAGACAATGCTAGACCTCATGTGGCTGGAGTGTGTCAGCAGTTCCTGCAAGACGACAGCATTGATGCTATGGACTGGCCACCCGTTCCCCAGACCTGAATCCAATTGAGCACATCTGGGACATCATGTCTCGCTCCATTCACTAACGCCGCGTTGCACCATAGACTATCCAGGAGTTGGGGGATGCTTTAGTCCAGGTGTGGGAGGAGATCCCTCAGGAGATCATCCGCCACCTTATCAGGAACATGCCCAGGCATTGTAGGGAGGTCATACAGGCACATGGAGGCCACACACACTACTGAGCCTCCTTTTGACTTGTTTTCAGGACATTACATCAAAGTTGGATCAGCCTGTAGTGTTTTTTTCCAGTTTAATTCTGTGTAACTCCAAATCCAGACCTCCATGGGTCGCTAAATTTGATTTCAATTGATAATTTTTGTGTGATTTTATTGTCAGCACATTCAACTATGTAATGACCAAAGTATTTAATAAGAATATTTCATTCATTCAGATCTAGGATGTCTTATGTCAAGTGGTTGACATCTTATTTTTGTGTTCCCTTTATTTTTTTGAGCAGTGTATTAATGCTTCCATCATGGATAACCAGACCGGAATTTTCATGTAGTGGTTCTGTCTAACTTTTTCCCATACTGATATCACACCGTTTCTAATGTAATGTCTTTGAACATATCTCTGTGATTTATTTTTCCCATCCCATAAGAATGCATGCCATCCCTAACTGTTGTTAACATTCTTTTATTTTTTTAATTTATCCATTCCTTCACCCATGTTAGAATTGATGCCTGATAGTAAAGCTCCAAATCTGGAAGCCCAAACCTACCCTTGTTTTTGGAGTCTTGAAGCATTTCCCTTTTAATTCTAGGTTTTTTTTCTCTTGCCAGATGAATTTAGAAATCACTCTGTTTAGATCCTCACCATACCTTTTTCCTAATTTTATCAGGGTTGTTTGAAATAGAAATAGTAGCTTCAGTAAAATATTCATTTTTATTGTAAATATCCTTCCAACCAGAAATTGTCTTCTTTGTTGGATATACATCTTGATGTTAACCAAATTCCCAAATATTTTACCTTTTCAATCAATTCATTTTTCTGTTTATAAGAGTTTTTGTCAACATTTTGGTCTTTTCCTTATTTATTTTGAGTCCTGCCACTGTACCAAACTCTTCTATTTTCTTAATTAGTTTAGGTTCTGTTTCCAAAGAATCTTCCAAAATAAATACTAAATCATCCGCAAAAGCTTGTAAATGTTCTCTTTTTATTTGCAAACCTCTTAATTCTGGATCTTGCCTAATCAGTCTGAGCAGAACAACATTAATATGAATAGAAGGGGGGATAATGGGCACCCTTGTCTCGTACTTTTATTTATATTGAATTCCTCTGTTATTTCTCCATTTATTATAACTCTCGCTATTTGATTGGAATAGATTGATTTGATCATTTCTACAAAAATTTTACCAAAATTCATATTTTCCAATTGCTGTGGCATAAATTGCCAATCTATATTATTGAAAGCCTTTTGTGCATCAGTGCTAACTGCTTTTTGGAGTGAGTTTCATAGTATTCCTCATTATTTTTGGGTTGTCTTTTTGGTAAGAAGCCATTCTGGTCTGGATGGATACATTCATTTAGAAATCTTTGAAATCTTTCCGAAATTATGGAGGCAAATATTTTATAATCTACATTTAATAGTGATATTGGCCTATAATTTTTTATTTGTTGAACATCTGAATTGTCCTTTGGAATTAGTGTGATATATGCCTCCATCCAGGTTTTAGGTAGTTTGGCCTGTAGTAGAGCTTCGTTATAAAGCTCCAACAGTATTGGTCCCAATATATCCTGTAGGTTTTTACATAGTTCTGCAGGTATTCCATCTACTCTGGGTGTTTTATTATTTTTCTGCCTTGATTGCTTTGATTATTTCTGCGTCCGTTATCCTTTCATTCAGCATCCCTCTTACTGAGTCTGGTACTTTTGGTAGTGTTGCTTTTTCCAAATACTGTATAGTTGTATCTTCTGGTCTTCTTTCTTGTCTATACAAATTTCTGAAAAATTCCTGCGCTATTTTCTTTTTATCCTCATTTTAGTGGTGGAGAATATCTTTTTCATCTAGTAGTTGATGTATCATTTTCTTTTTTTCTTCCTTTTTCAATTTGTACACCAACCGCCCCCCCCCCCCCCCGGTTTGTTTGCATGTTTAAAAAAAAAATGTTTCGTCAATTTAATTTTTTTGTGCTATTTCCTCTTGTACCCTTAGGTTCAATGTACGTTTTGTTAAATCTCTTTTTTCTATTTTGTTGTTTTTTGGATTTTTCTGCAAATCTCTCTCTAGTCCTTTAAGCCCTTCTTGTAACCTAATTTGCTGTTGTCTATTTTTCTTGTTTCTTCCTGCTATGCATGTTATCGCTAGACCTCACATATATGCTTTTGCCGTCTCCCAGACAATTTGTAAGGATGTTTCCTCTTTTTTATTTTCTTTTTTAAAAATCCATTTCTTTTTTCATCATTTGTCTAACCTGTTTGATTCATTGTCTATCTCAATTTCTTTTTTTGTCCTTTCCACACAATTTTCATAGGGTTGTGGTCTGCACATGTGTTCGTTACTATCTCTACTTCATGAACTTCTTTCCTCATTCCCGATGTCATCCGCACCATATTTATTCTTTAACATGATTGATGCATATTCAGGTAGAAAGTATACTGATTGGTCTTTGGATTAAGTTCTCTCCAGATATCCTGTAGGCTCATTCATGTATCATGTCAGCAAAGGCTTTTGGAAGTGTTCTCATTTTTTTGTTTCTTTTGCTACTTCTGTAATATTTTTTGACATCCACGATGGCATTGAAATCCCCGATGATGCATATATTTTCATAATCCATTTCTGGTTTTTTTTTAAATGCAATCTTTTGTAAAACTTTCTGATGCTTATTCAGGGCAAATATTGCAATCAAAAGAATTTGTTTCTGATTTATTATTATCTCCGTCATTAGTATTCTCCCTTCTTCATCTGTATAAATTTGTTTAGCTTGTAACGCTTCTTTAATACATAATACTACCCCTCTTTTCTTTTGGTATGCTAATGATGAATACAATTTCCCTATTTTAGGGTATTCCAGTACATTGCTGCATTGCCTTTTAATGTGGACTTCTTGGAGACATGTAATGTCCAATTTTAACCTTTGTAATTTGGTAAAGATTTGTTTTCCGTTTGTGGGGAGTTCAATCCATTTATGTTCACAGAGAGCATCTTTACTTCCTCTTCCATCTTTTTCACTTATATATAGGTCTTACGCTTCTGGTTGTTTTTACCTCCCTCTGTATTTTTATTCTTGCACTTTCTTGTTCATCTCGCTTTCCTTTTTTCTTCCTGTTCTACTGTTTTTTCTTCTATTTGTAGTTCATCCTGACTTTTACTTTCTACCTCTTCTCTACTTTCCTGTTCTTCATTTACTGTAAAGCGATGTTCAAAGAACTCATGTACCTTATCTATAGTGTCTATTCTGAATTTTTTGTCTTGCCAAGAGATCAGCATTCCTTCCGGTATCAGCCATCTAAATGTCACATTGTATTTGATCAGTTGTGTTGTTAAAAATTGATAAATGGAAGGCTTATCCTTGCAGACAGCTAGCCATTTGCATTATTTTAGAGAGTTGTTGAGACCATGTAGAGGTTTTATCTGTGTTGTCAGGATCACCTGAATGGTGCAAATGGATATGGAGCCTTCTTGGAACTGTTGAAAAGACTGTTGACTGCAGATAGATGATGTCGTATCCCTCCACTCTGTTGAGAGAGGGCAGTTCAGTTTTGATAGATAGCCTCTTTGATCTCTCTTTCAAGCCAGACTTTGCTGTCTTCAGATTAACAGAGCTGGAGGGCATCAACAGATGGTCTGCAAGAATTTTGGTGGTCCACAGTGCAGCTGGGTGAAGGAGCTGCTCTGGGATGAACAATGGGCAGTGCCTTGGAAAATAGCTTGACTCCCTCCTCTCTCTGGTAGCCCCTCAGATATTGGAAGACTGCCATCCCCTCTCCCCTGGTCCTTCTCTTCACAAGACTAGCCATGCCCATTCCTGTAACCTTTCTTCATATGTTTTAGTTTCCAGTCCCCTAATCATGCTTGTTGCCCTTCTCTGCACTTTTTCTAGAGCCTCAACATCATTTTTGTAGTGTGGTGACCAAAACTGGATGTAGTATTCCAGGTATGATCTTACTAAGGCTTTATAGAATAGTAATATACGAACATATATATATATATATATACGAACATCAAGTGAGAGCTGCACTGAAGGCTTTGAATCCCAGTAAAGCTGGGGTGCTGGGGATAGTGGTAAAGACTTGTGCCAATCAATTAGCAGGGATCCTGACAAAGATCTTTAACATCTCCCTGCAAATGGCCTGTGTTCCGTCCTGCTTGGAAACAGCCACTATTGTCCCAGTCTCCAAGAAAACAGCAATTAACTGTCTAAATGACTACAGACTTATCGCATTAACAGCAATAGTGATGAAATGCTTCCCCAACACCTTAGGATATGCCTCCGACAAACATCAGTTTGCCTACAGGGGGAGCAGGTCAACAGACGATGCCATAGCTATTGCCCTACATTTTGTAGCGAGCCATCTGAGAAACCCAGAAACTATATCAGGATGCCTTTCATTGATTACAGCTCGGCCTTCAGTACTATCCTGCCGAGCATCCTTATCGAAAAGCTAAGTGGTTTGGATTTTCCATTTGCGACTGGATCAAAGACTTTCTGAGGGACCGACCACAAACTATGAGGGCTAGGTCTGTCACATCCACCTCCCTGAAGCTTAGCACTGGCTCCCCACAGAGTTGTGTGCTCAGTCCCTATCTGTACTCACTGTACACACGATTGTGTATCATCTGACCCATCCATTGTGACCATTAAGTTCACAGATGATACTACTGTATTGGGTCTCATTACAGGTGGAGACAAAACAGCGTAGAGGGGAGGTTCAAAAATTATCCCCAGGGTACCTAGAAAACAACCTGTACCTAAACATCAGCAAGACAAAGGAGATGGTGTTAGACTTCCAGAAGAAGAGAGAGGAACCCGTCCCACTTTACATCAAGGGGGGCTGTGTGGAGAGAGTTTCCTCCTTTAAATTCCTGGGAGTCTACTTCCCAGGAAAACCTGGAAGATCTTACCTAGAAAACCAACACAACCCAGGTGGCAAGAAGGGCCCAGCCAAGACTCTATTTCCTTAGGGTCTTGCAAAAGAATGAAGTGGAACAACGAATGATGACCTCCTTTTACCCATCCACAATAGAAAGTGTCCTCACATAATGCATGACGGTGTGGTATGCTGGCTTGACAGCTGTGAATAGAAAGACAGAGCGTAGTCTGCACAGCACAAAACATTGTGGGCTTTTCCCTGATACCACTAGATGACATCGCCAGGGCTTGCTGCCTTAGAAGAGTGAGGAAAATTCTCAGGGACAACTCATATCCCAGTCAGCACTTCTTCACTCTCCTACCATTGGGTAGGAGATAGAGAAGCAGAGCCAGCTGCACCAACAGGCTGAAGAGCAGTTTCTACCATGGGCTGTCAGACTTCTGAACGGAAAATAACTTCATTTCAAGATAGTATGATAGACTTGCAGGGTTGGCACGTTGTCACCTAGGTGACAAGGTCACCTAGTATAAAAAGATTGGGACTGGGTTAGGGACTTCTTTTTTTATTAAAATACAAGTAAAATACAAGTATAAAATACAAGTAAAACATCTTTTTTGAAAATAGCATGGTCCTGGGTTACACTTCTTTATACAGACACCAACTCAATTTCCTGCTTATTTTTGTGTATATCTTATTATCATTACTATTTTATTATTTATTACATATCTTATAACTATTTTGCATTTTCTATATAGTTTTTCCCCTTTTTTAATTTTCTCAATTTTATTTTGATTATCTCATCTCAATTCAAATCATTATATTTATACTTTTGTCTGTTCTGTTTTAATTTCATATTATCTTATCTCATTAAACAAATTTTCTCCTGTAGTTACTAATTAGAATATGACACCTTTATATCTTTTAATTACATCCATTCAACTCTTATTTAAACTTCAATATATACCTTAAGGTTATGACCTTCAATATAATACATAATTTCCAATCGAATTCTGCTTGGTACATTCTTAAAATACACACTATATTCTTTAACAAAAAAGAATTATAAATATATGTAATTATAAACCCTCATTCCATTCCAATTCAGTTCTATCATTAATAATCATTAAAATCTTAACATCTTTAACATTTCTTTTCAATTAAATATCATACTTCCTTAGAGACACATATAATCTCCATAATTAATTTTTCCCTTATTTCTTGTCACATATGTTTTGTAAATCATTAAATATTCATTTTGTTACATTTATTTATTGACAAGCATTCCACTGAGCTATTTTATCAAACATTTTAATCATACATTGTTTCATATTTTCTAAAATTATTTCTATTTCTAATATAACAATACTATCTTATGTACCTTTGCAGAATCCCTTTTTCCATTAAATTTTCACCCATTATCTCTAAATAGGCTCTGTTTCTCTGCATTTTGTTTCTGTCCTTTATAACTTCTTTTCCTTTCTTTCTTTCCTCTCATCTTCTCCGTCCCCTTTTTACCCCCTTGTCTCTCTACTTCTAATTCTCTCTTCTGCATCTCCCTCTTCTGTTGCTTTCTGATTTTATACTTATTTTTCAATCTATTCTTTTGGGGGGGTTGTTTTTCCCAGTCTTAAACTTTCCATTCTCTTTCCCCCCTTTCCTTTTTTTCCCCACCTAAGATTGCTTGTTCATTAAAGATGGCTTCTTCTTTGTCCCAATCTTCTTGTTCTGCAGGCATTTCTTGTTGTTTCTCATAGTTCCAAATCTCCATTTCTAAGAACTGTAATGCGAAGCCGAAAGAACCTCTCCCTTCTTGTGCATCTTCTTTGTACTTCTTAAGTTCCATTTTCAGTTCTTCTAAGAGTGGAGCCATTTTAAACAGTTTTAAACAACCACCCGATTGATTTTAGTCATTCAAATACAATAACCAAAAATCCAGAGATCACCAAGTAATCCAAATGCTCCCAAGCTGTTTCTTATTTCTTTTTCCACTTTCTCTTCCTGGGGTTTTACTATTTTATTGCAATGTTTCAGGTAAGATGTATCTTTTAGAAGTCTTGTTGAGATTTTACTGTAAGTTCTTTTTAATTCCAGGCAGTCTCCTCCCTTCCAGATCCTGCCCTTTTATTCTTTTTCTCTCCTTTCCTGTTTTCAAAAGCTTTTAAGTATCCAGAAATCTTTATTATCCCTTTGACTTTTTATTTTCAGCATTTAATGCCTATTAATGTCAAAGCGGATTTTTTTCCAATTTCTTGCTTAAGTCTCTTAGCTGCCAGTATAGGAAAAGGAAAAGGAAGAAAAAAGAAAGAAAACCAAATCCTTTCCCTTTTCTCTCTCCTTCACTGCTTAAAAATCTTCTTAGGGAACAGTGTTATTTTTTATACTAGTTTCAATTCCAGGGTACCTTGTTTGTTGCTTTTGCTGTTTGACCTGGTCAACCAAAACTTTCTCTTCTTATCTTCCTCCTGCACATTCTTTTCCGGTCTGCCCCCCCCCCCCCGGGCCAGATCTAAGCACCCCCGCAGGCCGGATCCAGCCCACAGGCCTTGAGTTTAACACCCCTGCCATAGACAGTCAGAGAAGAGGCCACAAGCTGGCAGTCCCAGGTTCATTCAGGAACCGGTCTTGGTAATTTAAATTCATTCATAGTAGTCCAGTGCTTTGAAGTAATCCTGATGCTTTCCTAGGGTTGCTGCTCATGTTAAGGGTCTGATTTATTTCAGGCCCCCAAAGTAAAACTCCTTGTTCCTCTCCTACTATTTCTTGCAGCCCCCTCCCCCTTTTGTGCCCTTGCTTTATGTGAGTGGTGTACGCGCTTTCTAGTCATGTGAACGGAGCTTCGTGCTTGAGCAAAGGGCACTTGTGATCCGTTGCAAAGCTCCACTCACACAAGTGGAGACACTCCATTCACATGAGTGGAGGTTTGCACATGCTTGCAAGCGACCTCATTTCATGTGCGCTCATCTCTCCTGGTTTCAAACAGGCCACAGCCTGTTGGGGACCCCTGCTCTAGATCTCCTTTTAACTCTTAGTTTAATTGATTTCCTCAATTGGCCACGTATTTGTCTCATTGGAACAATGCCTAGTTGTACTGCAGTGGTGCAATGGTTAGAGTGCAGTACTGAAGGTCACTTCGGCTGACTGCGGCTGACTGCAATTTGGCAGTTTGAATCTCACCAGGCTCAAGGATGACTCAAGCCTTCCATCCTTCCAAAGTCGGCCAAATGAGGAATCAGATTGTTGGGGGCAAGAGGCTGACTCTGTCAACCACTTAGAGAGGGCTGGAAAGCACCGAGAAGCGGTATATGAGACCGCCAGTAGCTACTGCCAGTAGCTTATCTTTTCAAAAGTTCCTAGCATTTGTACATCGTTTGAACTGAGGAGGTTTTCCATGGGATCCTGTCTAGTCCTTCTCCAAGCTAGCTAAGATTGACTCTCCTGAAATCTTGTGTCCATAATATCCGCCTTCATTGCAGCCTCTCTGAAAACGTTGTTATGTTGTCCAGAAGAATCTTACCCAGCTCTTCTGCCTGCCTGACAACTCCAACCTCATTAATGTCTGAGATGCTATTACCTCTGAACTGAACCTTGTATTGGTTTTCAGTGATATGTGCACTTCACGTAGAGTGCTACTTATCCTTCTCTTCTGTCTGTTCTCTTCCTTTTGAATACATCCTGCCCTTCAGTCCTTACATCCCATTCAGGAGTTCCTCCCGCAGGTTTCAGTAATGCCTGCTAAGCTAGCCTTCTCTGCTTAAGAACTTGCTTCTTCTTCTCCATGCTGTGTGTATTTGTATAGCAACATGGGGATCCTTGGCTCACCTGGGCACCTCTGTATTCTGCAGACTCCTTCCAACCCCACCCCACTTTCGGTGCTCGGTCTTGTGCTGTTTCTGGGCTATTTTCTCCTTCCTCCATAGCTTTCAGATTTGCATGTTGCCTTTCAAACACATTCTTCCTGGTTTTGTGAGATACAGACTATCTCAGCAGGAGTCTGCTGTTTTGAAAATGTGTCTCATTATCAAAAAACTAAAGTTCGCAGTGCATGATTACTTGTTGGCTTCTAATATATTTTTTATTCTCCCTGGATCCAGTTTTTCCATTTTCCTTCCCAGCCCTTCATAGTTCCTTGCAGTGTCCTTAAAGTTGTGTCTGGCTGAGTCATTTGAACTATCTAGTGGATCAAGAGAATGGGCTAATTCTCAGTGGATGTAAAGAAGTCTTTAAATCTTTCTGTTCATACCATATGTCTCTGAGGGAGGAAGAGCTACTTTGTTCTCTTGGCAGATTATCCAGCCAACGCTGCTTCAGCCCCTCTCAATAGGGTGTCTGCAGTCACTGCCTCCCTTTTGTCCAGGGCAGAGGCAGGGATCCTCCTTCCCTTGCAAAGGGGCTGGAGTCTGATTTCTTGATTCCTGAGGTGGAGGTTAGCTGCTCTTCCCTCTCCATTTAGGAAACCTAAAACATCATCAGTGGCAAGGAAGGGAATCTATTCTCATACTACAGTGAATAGCTTTGTGGGGTCACATTCCTTCCTTCAACACAGCATCCTCTTGATAATTATTTTTTTAATCTTCCAGGAGGCTTTTTGCTATCTGTGCCCTTGCATAAAAGCTTCCTATGTCCAATCCAAATATTCCCTTCTTTCCTTGATAAACTTGGAGTAAACTAGTCACTTCATCTTTTTTGTTGCTTTGTTTTGTGTTTTAGGGCTAGGAAAACAGTAAACCTCATCTTTTCTGTACTTTTTAAAATGTATTCATCTGACTGTGCTATGTTAATCCATGGAAAAGTGGGAAATATTGCATATTAAACTACTGCCTCTTTATATCCTCTGCAGAACCCAACCTTAAATTTCAAAGAAGTAACCTATGAGCTGGACCACCCTGGATTTCAAATTCGTGATAGCAAGGGCCTGCAAATTGTAGTCTTTGGAGTTCAGCGAGGATTAGGACTGGAGGTTTTTCCAGTTGATCTAATATACAGACCTTGGAAACATGCTGAAGGCCAGGTAAATATGCAGCTCTCAGATTTTTTTCTCCATTTAAATTTTTTATAATGACTATACCACTGTTTATGAGATTTACTTATTTGTTAATTCATGAGTCTTCACTTGGGTGTAGCATGATTTAGAATTTTTTAAAAATAGCTGATCTTTCAAATGATAAGCTTTTGAATGAATGCTTTGAATTATTAGTACATATTAT